TTCCCAACAAAGATCAAGTAATATCAAAGAATGGTAGGTCTAATTATATTGGATCTAATATCATAATAAAATGAGGATAAAGAAAATGACATAAACTATAATGTCAAAGTTGAAAGGTTAGAATAAAAAAATGCTCGAGTACAATAAGAAAAGATAATATAATGAATATTTAAACATAAAATTCATAAAATTGCAATTTTAATTGCTGTGCAATAGCCAAAGTTGGGTGTGATAGAAATGAGAATATTAAAATAAATATATGGAGATACAACACAAATATAGTGAGATATGATTATATTTATGGATGATAGCTATAACACATATTGACTAATGCTCTATTGTCTTTGATCTCTAAAATGGAGGTCTAAGGTTTGAATAATGGGAAAAAAAGGACTTATGCGGATATACAAAATGGATGGTAGACTAATAAGAAGAGCATACTAAATTAATTTTAAACAATTAGAAAGATAAATAGTACATCATATGTGGTACGGATTAAAATTGTGAGCAAAACTTGGGGCAGAATTGAATTAATGCCTCGTATAGCACCAAATATAAATGAATGGAAATGGTTTCATAGAGCAAACCCCAAATAGCTAGGATAAGCTAATGAAGAAAATGATGAATAATATTTTTATCAAAAAGAAAAAAGGATTAAAATGCTGCTAAAGATTTGAAAATAACCTATTCTTCTTTTAGTATAGTAGCAACTGTTGACAACATAACTATTACGATTTCATTATCACCATCCGAATTCAAGAAAGAGCGGCATTCAGCTACACATGAAATAGCCTAAGTACGGCTTCATTGACAATTTCAAGCATTTCTCATCAAAAAACTTTTTCCAAAAAAGTAGTTTTATACTCCTTGTGGATCAGCAAGTTATTTGGTAGAGATGGTGATTTTGGCTCAACTCCAATATTACAATCCCAGCATATGAAGAACACTACAGTAGAGTACAAAATTTTTATGCTAAATGAAAAGTGTCTAAGGAAATCAAGAATCAGGTCAAGCACACAAATATAATCAAAATGATAGCATATGATAAATATATTATGATCAACTATGATGTTGTTTACTCTTCGAACCTTCTAAAGCATTTAAATAAATTATGGAAGATATTCTGCAATTAGGAAAGCATATTGATTTCCAACTAGCACAAACTCTTGGCTGCATGATGTAGCAATTATTACAAAAAATATATAATTTGTACTTTTTATACTAATTTTGCTAAAATCAAGGGTAAACATTTTATATATAGGTAGCCCACAAAAATATTCACGGTTTTTCAGTCCTGCTATTTTGTTGAATAATCTTTCATGAAAATGTAAAATTTTACATAAGTATGTTCTCTTAGTTTCATTAACTAAAATCTAGAGGAGATGCTAAATTTTGATCTGCCTAAATTTACTCTTTAAAGTCATTACAATGGAAGTTTTATCCCTATTATATATATATAATCAGGTGGAAAAAAATTTCTTGCGAAGGAGGAATTTTATAAAGCACCAAGCAGCCATTCTTTAAGTGCAAATTCATGTGGCAAGGGAGTTATTTTCCTAGACTTTCTATCAAGTTTAAAATAATAGCTTAACAGCATAACTAGTAAAAGTCATTTACTGTATTTATTCAACAAAAGAATATGCGGAGAAAGTAAGAAGTGATACATTGACATGTTGCATCAATTCATTTGAAGCTTAATGGAATTGAAATGTGCACCAAGAGAATTAACATATGGCTAACTATTTTACTCATTTTTTAACCTACTTGAACTGAATATTTACTATTCAATTTAAATATAATTGTACATAAATTTGGTTTAAAAATTTTGAGAATATTCCTCGGCTGATAGATTCAAGACTTTTGTAAAGCGAAAGCACGTCTCTTGATTCCATTCAGTGCCCCCTCAGTGTTGCACTGGTAAATAGTTTAATAAATTACTTCTTGATATATCAAATTTCCTTCCATTTTTTAAATTTGCCATGTTATGTGATTATGTCCTTTTCAGAACTCATACAATTTGAGGTGATGAGCATTTGTCTTTCAAAAGAAACCTTTAATTTATCCCATATTGTATATTATTTCACAGACCAAATTTAATACATCTTTTATAATAATTCAACCACCATGTAATTTTTAACTAAGTGACACGTACCATAAGTGAGAATTTTGTGGAATGTCTTTATCAAAAGACAAATTTTCAAGAAATCATTTTTGAGAGACATTTGACAGAAGCTAAGCAGCAGTAGCATATAATTGTTTAAGTGACATAAATTGAATTTACATATATTTGATTTCAATTTTTTCTATATAAGGGTAAGTAGCTCTCTTTATCTTTACTTCTAATAAAAGAATGTAAGGGCTGAACTTTCTATTTTACATTGTCTTTTAAAGTTGGCACTCAAAAAAAAAAAGAGCTAAGAAAATTTCTATATAAGGGCATTTAAAGAATACTACAACAACAACAACATCATCAAGCCTTTATCCCACTACGTGGGGTCGGCAAGGGCATTTAAAGAATACTAATAAAAATATTTTTAAGAGCAATATTTAAGATCTCAAGATTTGGGTTGTTCATGAGGAAACTATGTTATGTGAGAAAAAGTATATAATAATATTAAAAAGGTTGCAAAATATATGCTTGAAGAATCAAAAGGAAACATTCCTAATAGTAAAAACAGGTGATGGTAGAATCAAAATGTACTAGAAAATGTCAAAAATAAGAAGTTTTTCTATAAAAATTATTTTAAATATAAAAGCTAAAAAAATTAGGAAAGATAAAGAGAGGCTTGCAGGGACTCTAAAATAGTAATATACAATGCAAAGAATTTAGTTTTAAATTATTTCTATAATATATTAGATGCTAAAAATGGCGACAAATGTATGTATAAATTAGTCAAGTAAAGAAATAGAAGTAATGATCTAATTCAAGTGAAGTACATTAAGCATGAAGATAAAAAAGTATTTTCTTAGAATAGAATATTTAACAAAGATGGATTAGATATTTCGATCAACTTTTCAATGAAGATTGTGAAAATATGATTAACTTTAGTAACCTTAGCTCCCTAAATCAAAATATAGATTTTTGTTTTTATCATCATATTAGCAAAATTAAAGGTTGAGAGGCTTTAAAGAAAATGAAGTGTGAAAAAGCAGTAGGACCTGATGATATTCCAACAGAGGTGTAGAAATGCTTATAAGATCAAGGAATTTATTGGCTTAATAAACATTTTAATATTATTTTGAAAACTACAAAAGATGTCAAATGAGTGGAGAGAGAGTGTGTTAGTTCCTACTTTTAAAAATAAATGAGATGCCAATAGTGTGCGAATTATAGAGGAATTAAGATGATGAGTCGTACATTAAAATTATGAGGGAGTAATTGAGCATAGATTACGACGTGATACTAGTTTGAATTCATGTCGGGTTGGTGTACTATGGAAGTTATGCATTTGTTAAGAGGTTCAATGTTGAAGTATAGAGAGAGTAAGGAGATCTACATGTGAAATTTATGAATTTAGAGAAATCATATGATAAAGTTTCAAGAGAAGTGCTTTGGAGAGTTCTAGAAAAGAAAGAAGTTAAGAATATTTATATTCAAGTCATTAAGGATACGTATACACAAGCTGTTACTTGTGTTCAAACACAAGGTGGTTTGACCAAATATTTTTCCTATTTCAATTGGATTACATTAGGGGTGAAAACGAGTCAAGTCAAGCTCGAGCCAGGGGGTGTTCGAGTCGAGCTCACATGCCAAATATCGAGCTCAATCTTGAGCTCGAACTCGAGTAGAGCTCAAAATCCGAGCTCGAGCTCGACTCATCTCATGTCGAGCAGCTCGTCGAGCTCAGTCCCAAGCTCCGCTGTCGAGCTTCATCCAGAGTAGGCTCATCATCGCATCTGCTGTCATCCTGAGGTCCGCCATCGTCGCGTCCGTTGTGAAGCTCCGTCATGCCGAGCTCCGCTGTCGAGATCCGTCATCCCTACCTTGTCATCGCGTCCACCGTCGAGATCGGTCATCACGAGCTTGTTCGACATTGTCCCGAGGCTCCACCGTCTAGATCCATCGTCACGAGCTCATCATCACGTCCGCCGTTGAGATCCATCATCCCAAGCTCGTCCGTCGTTTTGGTTTTCCCACCTGACCTTCGATCCGTCCTCCCGCATACAGCAACCGATATTTCATTTTCTCGCCCAGTCACCTCCACAGGCTTCTTGTCGAGCCGATGAGTCAAGTATGAGGCATGTAACGAGCTTGATAAGCCATTAAGCTCGAAATCGTGTTCGATCTCGACTCACGAGCTCGATCAACTTGACTCATTGAGCCTGTTACCGAGTCATGTCCGAGCCGTCCCGCGAGTCAGCTTGACTCGGTTGCACCCCTAGATTACATCCAAGATCAACTTTATGGCCATGTCATTTTGCTTTAGTCATGAATGTTCTTACTAGATATTTGCAATATGATGTACCCTAGTGTATGTTTTTTGATAATAATATTCTACTCGTTGATAAGATTAGAGAGAGTCATCTTAGATGGCTTCGTCACATAAAGCGTCAAATTTCCAATGACCCAATTATGAAAGTGAATGTACTAGATCTAACTTATGTTAAGAAAGGTAAAGGTAGACCTAAAAATACTTGGTTAGAAAGTACTAGAAATAACATTTTTTATTAGATTTAAATGAGACTTTTATTATTATTTCAAGTACACATGAAATACTTCAAACAATATATAAGCAAGATGTCCAAACACTAATTTCATTTACTCTTTTATAATGGAAATGCGGATCCTTAACAACTATCTAGCTAAATTTTCTCATTCAGACGGCATTGCTTGCTAGTTTTACACATTATCTAGACTGATGATATGAAATGGTAACCAGTCCTACAGTAACAGCGGGGAAAATACTGCAGTTAAAATCCTCATATATGGGTTTATTGTATGGTCTTGCATGTTTCTTAACAATCTAAAATGTCATGTATAACCTATGAGATTAGAAGACCTTAATCCTTTAAGCTCCTTGTTCATATCTGCAAGTATAAGCCGTGCAAAGAAAACCTGCAAAGAGAATAAGCATTTTGAGCACGGGACCGAGCCTGAGAACTAATAAAAGCAGCAGAAAATCTAAAATTAATTTCTGCATCTGCATAATATGCAACAATTCCATGGTGATGGTCCTCTCATATTTTGTATATTTAAGAATTTTCAAAATAAGAATTTTAGAAGACATGGAAAGCATGTCATTCAAAAAATTTAAAATTTGAAATCCTTGGATGCTTTCCATCTCTTAGTAAAATTTTTAATTTCCAAATTAGGATATAAAACAATTTAAAAATGGAGTCAAAGAATATTAGTCACTCAAGATGTGCTGAAACTGTCTTTTTAAAACATTTTTAAAAGTGTTGCATTGAAATTTGAAAATATCATTACTATAGAAATTTTACTTATTTTTTCCTCAGTTGAAAATTTAAAATTTTAATATCAAAAGCATCACTTAAACATATTGCATTTAAGAATAAATTTTTAATATTTCATCTAGATTTAAAGAGCAATTTTAAATTTAATTATGTTATAAAATTATTAAACAATTTATTTAGAAGAAAAAATAGAAACAAACAGACATAAAAATGAAACATAAAATTTTATGCAGTATGCATTGCATGTGAATAAGATCTACAGCGAGATCAACTGTAAGAGTAATGCATTGTATGTGAATAAGATCTGCACGAAAATCAACAATAAGAGGAACGTGAATTTCCGATTGAATTGTTGCTTCACAACAGGACTAAATCAATATATATTTATCATCATCAAAATATCTCTTATTGGCCCCTATATAACTGATTTCTTTCTTGTATACATGTGGATAAATATATATCTATGAAGAGAAGCATAATAAGATACCAATCCATATCCTGTAGCTTCAGTTCGGAGGCTAGAACCTGACCAGAAAATCTTTGGTCCTGTAAAATTTCCCTGCATAAGCATAACAGCGAAAACTAAAGATGATAAAGACAAGAATTACTTAAAACCATATGAACTAAACCATTTGGATAACAAAATTCTTAAAAGTATGGATAACACCCCAGGTAAAAAACGTAAATCTCAGGAAGTTCTGGTATGAATATACAAGATATTTAAGTCACCATAAGCACCACTATAAGGATTAATAATTCACATAAAACGACAAGCTATGATCATCTAAAACGATATTATAGATGTGAACAATAACAAAAATCCCTTCACTAAAGTACTAAGAACAATTTAAAATATCATTTATTAACACAAATATATACATATAAAGTAACAATATTTCAAAATATCAAAAATTAATTGAAAATTGAATCGATTATGACTCAAATAAAGCTCAGAACAAAACTTTAACTAAAGTATCATACATGACTCGAATCAAAGCCAAATTGAGAAAACCTAAACTATGCCTAGTTCAACTAAAGATTAGACTGAACACCTTGAACAAATGTTGAAATGAGGTCAACTTGAGATCATATCTTTCTCAAACCCTATTCTTGAATTATATAACCATGCATCTTGATTTTTGTTTCTAGGTGCTTCCATGCAACATTCACCAAAAGATAAAATTAGGTTGATTACATAAATACAAATAAATTTTAAGAAAAAATTGTACCCCATATCCTGTATTTTAAATTTCTACATAAGAGCAAATATTTTTTAACTTTTGAAAATCTGTCACCGTGTTACGCCATTTAAGGATCCTGATAATGCAGGTCTCTCTCCCAAGACTCGTCTCATATTTCATATTTTGTAATGATTTTTAAAAATCATTTTTTCAGTTTCTTTTAAAATATACATATATTAACAAACGTTCGCAGACTCTCCGATGAATTTTGCCACTTGCTATGATAAATCTCTCTTTTCACGCATGTCAATTTATTTTCCTGTAGTGCGGCAGCTCGAGCAATGAAAGGGGACCTCCTACAATTTGGGATTCCAGATACAACGGTACAGTCCACTTTGCAAAACGATGGATGTTTGACTACTTTTTTGTTTTATGCTAGCAAGACATTTTGAATTAATTTTTCACAAAATTGCACCCGTTTTTTGCTGTTGTCATTGAATTCAACGCGAGTAGGTTAACAGATGCTGATAATCATATACATTTAGAATTCTATGAACCAAACTATCAAAGTTGACCATATGCATTTGATACTCTAATGCCAAAGCCAAATCTGTATGATATAAGTAGATCACAAAACACTTGCTACAACGATAAATTGCTATCAAACCTAAAATAAGTAAACTTTCAAATGACATCTCAATATATTATTTTAAACATACAATCCAAATCTCACAACTAACTTCCAAAAATAAAATGTGACGCATTTATGTACATATCTACCACTTAATTTTCATAGGAACTTCAGGAAGCTATCCAACATTAGATTCTTATCCTACCATGACCACATCTCCATGTAGCATATAAAATGGTAAACTTTCTCATTAATATAGCACACACAACCTTAGAATGACAAGCTCTATCTTCTTTTTTTTTTTTTAAATTAGGAAGCTATCCAACATTAGATTCTCATACTAACATGACCACATCTCCATGTAGCTTATAAAATGGTAGTCTTCCTCATTAATATAATACGCAAAACCTTAGAATAATAAGCTCTATCTATTAGATTAAAAGCAACCAAACTGGGGGGAGAATGGTTGAATACAGATTACCTATGATCACAAAAAGGCCAATTAAGCTATCTGCATTAACCTGTTTACATCAGTCAGGCAAGCATTATGCCTTCTGAAAAAGCATTAATTATGCTAGTCATCTATATTTCAGAATCTGTAGCAAGAAAATTTTGTTTGCTTAAAAACCAATGCTAATAAAGCTATGATAATCAGGATATAGGTTCTTAACTTCGAAGAAATATGTTATTATCTAGTTTAGGTTTATTATAACTAGATTTTGGATATCTTCAGGTTGGTAATGAATATGATCGGCAGTGCTACCATCTTGATATTTTCTTTAAGACAATCCAATTCTTCATCAAGGTCTCAAAGGGGAAAAAAGATCTAGTTTATTGAGTTTCATTGTGAAAGAAGGAAGCTGGTAACTATTAGCTCTAGCACAGTGAAGAGGATTAACAGACTCAGAGAACAAAAAGCAAAATAAAATACTTATTATTAAATAATTTCAAGAGACTGCATAATATTGATGTTTATTTATATGCAAGAGTGGAATTCACAATAAAGCAAAAAAATGGGATTGAACCATCATCATAGTAAATTAATAAAAGAATATAAGTATAGCGCACACAGTAAAGGGAGCCTCAATAAAAAAATATTATTTTTAGTCTGCATTACGGCATTTTAACAGGGTCAAAATACCTGAAAATTGCCAGCAAGACGTCTATACCGCCCAAAGAGGTATCCCATTTCCCTAGGACCGACCCCCATATCTTCCGCAGGAAGATCCTAACCATAAAAAAGAAACCATATTTATAGATTTAAGCCATAGCTTGATAGTTATAGTGAAATTTTTTTATCTACTGAGGAAAAGAGCCAAGAAAATTTTCAGTGATTTAATAGTTACCTGATCCGGTCCTAGGTACCGATATAACTCATCCATAAAGCTTTGACAAAAGCGCATTATCTACGACATGAATAAGAATTATATTGTAGAAGATGGTCTTATTCAATATGCATTAACTGGTAAAGTACATACCTCATTCTCACTTCTTCCTTTTGGGTCAAAATCACTCCCACCCCCAGCCCCTCCAAGCTTGTATGGTGACAAGGCATTCTTCATGGTCTACAAAAGAGATAAGTTCATAAACAACAAATTTCACGAAGTAAAACAAATGCTCCTACTGTATTGAACAGCAAAAGAAGCAGAAATGCGATTTAATGTCAAATGCTTAGGTTTTGCTTGTGCAGACTTCAACAATATTCAATCCTGTAACAGTATTTCGTTTCTGTTCTAGATTAGTCAATTGTTCTTTGAACAACTAAAAACCAGTTACTTAGGTTTGCCCCAATCTTCCTAGTCCTTTCCCACTTTTTTTGGCTTTCCGCTGAAGATGTGCTTCTTCGGCTTATAATATACACTCAAACCGTCTCAATCTAACCTTTTTAATGATAAAATAAAAAAATGTTGATCCCTACTTATGTCAGAGTTGTCTTGAACTCTGTATTTCAAATTTTATTACACATTCATCTTAACCCTGTCCTATTTAATATCAACTTTATTCTTCTACCATTTGTATCATTCAAAAGTCAGATTTAGTTTTTGCTCAATCATCATGATACTGGGCTTATTTAGCAGAAACAACCCTACTGGCAAAGCCTCGCAATTTAAACAACCCAGTTTACTTGCACTTCTCATGTACCCATATTTATTGCCATGTTTTCCCATCAACAAATTCATCAATGGAAGGCCATTTATCATAAAATTAAATATAAAAAAAAAGTTTCACTGCCTTCAATTGGATTACTCTAGATACTTTTAAAAGTCACACCCAGCATAAAAGTAAAGTAGGACAAGCGAGGAGGCATCTTATTAAATCAATTTGAAATGTCTATTATCATAACAATTAATTGTACTTACAATGGGCGATAGTTATACATGATTATGGGGAAATATTTTAATTGTAAAAACTTACTTTAGAACCACATCAGTCAGCCCAAATTAAATATTTACAAGAAATAATCAAATATTTGATTGGATTCTATAAATTTGAGTAGAATCATTTATTCTCAAATAAGGGGAGATTTTGAGGGACTGTCATTATATGAACAGAATTTTACAGAATAATTTTGATATAATTCCGAGAGGGTTTTCCTCCTTTCCTACAACACTTTTGGTACTCTTTATACCCCCATTGATTCAATAAAAAACATGATCTCTAGCAAAAAATTGTCTGCAAGTAATTAATGCCGCCAGCTTTGGATTGATTTGCAAATCAACCACAGTCAAAGTTTGTGAGCCATAACATATCATTTTCTCTCTTGTTTCTAGTTCTCCTATATCTCTGAAACCTTCTCAAAGTCTTACATCACGTAAACCCTCACAAAAATCAAGTCATAGTACTACGAAATCCTAATTCTTTCTGCCCACCTCTGGTGACCCGTTCAGATAAAATAAATCATAACTTCCTATATACAATTCCAATTGATCTAAAATCACTGTCAATAGTTAGCTAACATCTCAAACCTCTAATTTTGAGATTCTCACCCTTTTCCATAAATTAAAAATAAAAATAACTATCCACTGCAAAAAAGATTCAACCAAAAAAACACCCCTAAACTAAACACTAGTCACTACCCTCCATAGCCTTGCACAACCATAAAGCCTCCACCACCACTTCAACAAACCTTGAAACCTCGTAGCAGCCTTCCCATCAATAATGCTATTGTCAAGTACAGGAACGCAACAACACATCAAAGCACATACCCATCTCCTTGCCTTAAGAGCAAGGATTTCATGATTTGATAATGTGACCACCAACCAACCAGAGAAAATTTCTAGATATCAACATCCATATACATATATCAATTTTGGTGTAACGAGCATTGGTCTCCCTTATACTGTACTACCTCCTTACCCATAGCTTTCTCAACAACACTGCCTTCACTTAATGCAAAAATGGATGACAAAAACATTACTACCAAAATGCTTGTGGGTTTGACAATAAGCTGGAAATCCAATGAAAAATGTGTTCATCGAAGCAGGGGTATCTCTTCATTTCTTTCTTTTAATAGTCTCACTCACCACTATTTAGCTTAATTGAACAATATTAAGATAATGTTCATAAAATTTCGAATAAAGTGATCATAACCATAAATATTAAGTCTTATCAATTAGAATACTCACCCACAAAGTGTAGGCTTTCACATAACAATAGGAAGCACTCAAGAGTCAAACAATCAACTTTGATATACGGGTCCAAACTGATCCATAGATCAGTACATAGATAGTTTTCACACCTATTTAGTATCAAAACATCGTCTTAAAGAGAAAAAACAAAAGACGTGTTCGTTTTAGATAAACAATGCAAACAAGTACTAATAAAATCATTTGTTTGAACCATTCCACAAGCGGAAAGCCAGTGCATCAACTCATGTTCACTCAAAGGGTTCCTCCTAGGAAAAGGTCTCTCAATAAAAAAAAGAATAAAAGGATGCTTTCTAATTTCGATTTCTATCTAGAGGCTAATTATATTTACAATAGACATGGATGGCCATGTCATTGTGAATCCTTGCAGCTAATTTCCACAATAATCTCTCTCCAATTCCAGTTTAGTTATGCTGGCCTGATTAGGTTTACCTTTGCTGATGCTATTGTTGGCTCAAAAAAAACGAGGCGTTGGCATGAATCCCGATTTGCAGACATGATTACATTCCCCTCAAGTAAGATTCTAATTAATCAGATTTCCCCTGAGAGTAGTGTCAGGGTTTAATTAGATCTAGATCGTTACTTCTCATAAGCTCAAACACTCATAGTTAATTACCCTCTTAACATAGTAAGAGAGAACTCTCGATTAAGGATGAATAAATTTTAAATGTTTGTCTCAATTATGAGGAAAATGAAGATAAACCCGATCAAGATCCCCTGGTTCCGTCGTCCCAACTATATCGTAGGTTTCAGTCTACCAATACTAATAATAATTGACCGTAGTATCAAGAGAATCTAATTAATAGTCATGGGTTACCTCCGCTCAGGGATCCCGAGTTAACTAATGTGGTTAGATGTAAATTTCAATTTTATTAAGGCTTTGGGGTTTACATCTATTAGAATACCCAAAATTTAATTTGGATTGGGATTTATAACTTTGTTTAGAATTTACCCATAAGTTTGAATTGAAATGGATCTTACGACTTTTATTAGAAGTAGCCCGGATATTTGAATTTGGGTCAAGACTTATGACTTTAATTGAAAGTAGCTCGTAAATCGGGCCTTACAGCTTCTATTAGAAGTAGCTCATTAATGGGTCTTACAATCTAGCCTTATAGACTAAACTGTTTGTTAAATTTGAATTTGATAATTTGGGCTTTAGGGTTATTGCAATTTATTTACCAAATTTCTTAAAATATGGGTCTTACACTTTACTTAGAAGTTGTTCGGTAACAGGTCTTACAATCTAGCTCTATAGACAAAGCTGTCCAATTGTTTTGGTTAACAGGTCTTAGACTCCCTTATAATTTGTCTGTAGCTTTAATTTGGAGTAAAACTTAAGCTCTTTTTAAGAGTTTCTCGGTAACAGGTCTTACAACCTAGCTCTACAGCAAGGTTACCTGAGGGTTCAATTATTTGAGTAGGTCTTACATATTCCCTTTGAAAGTTGCATAAAAGTGAGTCTTACAACCTAATGCTTTAAATTAAGATGTTCGTTTGTTTGAGGGTTTGATATTTTATTTAGAAATTTCTCGAATAATAGGTTTCACGACTCCCATTAGAAGTTGTATAGTTATTTAAGTAGGATGGAAAGTTATCTAGTTATTTGGGTATGAAAGGTCTTACTGCTTTCCTATAGAAGTAGCCTAATTTTGGGCCTTATAAACTAGCCATATAAGCAAGGCTGCCTAGAGATTTAATTGTTTATTTGTTTAAGTGGACAACAGTTGTTTGTTAGCTTAACATTAGACTGTGATTTTCAATTGATTACTAGCTCGACACTTACTACCAAACAGTTGTTGTATGACACCAGTATTTCTGCTAAGTACTTTGCTCTTTTTTTTCAGTGTCATGGACTATACTAATAGTTACTTTATTAGTAGCTTGTTCTACCTGATCTACTATCTATATACAGCTTAGCGTAACACCTATTCTTTTTTTCTGTTTTAGCATTTATTTTGTTATTAATTTAATTTTGATGCTAATGAACTTTCTTTGCTTGTTGTAGGAGTTTGTGTTGATTCAGAGTTTAAAGAGCTTGTAGTGTTTGTAGAGAGCAGAGTTTAAGAATTTGGGAGTTTTTTTTTTTTTTTTGAGCTCGAGAGTTTGTAGGGTGTGTTGAGTTTGTTGAGTGTTTGTGAGATGGAAAGTTTTGTACAAGGTTTGGAGAACAATGTGTTTATGAGTTGGAGAGTTTTGTATAGGGTTTGGAGAGCAGTGTGTTTAAGAGAACAGTGCTGACTTATACATGTTAACAAGTGAAAACTGCTCTTACCCCTCTTTCTTTTTTTTATTAAACAAAACCCTCACCTATCAAAAAGGATCTCTACACATTTTTAAGTCATGCTCTAATTTAATTAAATTATTTATTTTTTCATTAATTTAATATTTTAATTGACTAATTAAATAATCAAGCAATTAATAAAAATTATTTTAAAATATAATAATTAATAATTATATTAGATTTTCAGATTAAATTTGAAATTAATAGATTATTTATGTTTAATTAATTAAAAGGAATTTCAAAAGTTTTACATTAATTGATTAAATAAATTTTGATTTTTAATTTAACCAATTAATTAGATTATTTATGTTTAAAATTCCAATTAATTAATTAAATAAATTAACAAACTATTTTGATTTTAAATTAATCGCTCTCAAATTTCAATTAATTAATTGGCCGCTCTCAAATTTTCAATTAATTTTTAATAAATCGATTACTTTTCAATTAATCAATCATTTTTCAATTAATTAATTTCAATTGATTATTTAATTTTAATTAATTAATCATTTTAAATAGTTAATTTCAACTAAATCATCATATCAATTAATTAATTTCTAATTAATAATTTAATTGAATTAATCAAATAAATCAAATTAAGGAATCTAGAGTTATGTAATTGAATTAATCAATTAAA